GGTGTCTCCCTGGAGACTAAAGTGCGCCTGATACAGGCCATGGTCTTTGCAATCACTTGTTATCTATCCATCAGAGAGTTGGACAATGACTAGGTAAGGTAGAAGGAGAATTAATGCCTTTGAGCTGTGGTGCTGGAGAAGAGTATTGAATGTACCATGGACTGCCAAGAAAACAAACAGATTCACCCTGGAGAGAGTTAAACCAGGCTGCTCCTTGGAGACAAGGATTCTGGGGCTTCATCTGACATACTTTGGACATGTTGTAAGGAGGGACAGGTCCTTGGAGAGGAACATCATGCTTGGGAGGGTGGAGGGATGACACAGGAAGGGAAGACCCTCAATGAGGTGGATTGATTCAGTGAGGGGGGTAATCAGGATGGGTGTGTCAGAGGCAGTGCAATTGGTACAGGATGGAGCAGAGTTTAGGCTGTTGTACATAGGGTCGCTATGAGTCGCAGGCAATTCGACTGCACCTAACAGCAACAACAACAATTCCACTTCCTAGTCCTCCCGGGTCTATAGGAGCTCTCAAGGCCCATACCAAGTTGCACTGCTAAACCAAAGGCTGTATGTACTTCAGGAGTTCGAATCCACCAGACACTTTGCAGGAGACAGGCAATCTCCTTCCATTTTGATTTACAGCCTCCAAACCCCATAGAGGGAACCCAGTGTGAGTTGGAATCAGCTGACTCAAAGACCCTGAGTTTTGAGAGGGGAAGTGGAATCCTAGTGACTTAAAGTCAACCTTTACAAGATGGGCTGCTAACGAGAAGGTCTGCAGTTGAAATTAATTTTTTAGGGGGAAAGACTTGGTGGTCTACTCCCATAAAGAGTATAGCCTAGGAAACACTAGGGGGCAAGTCCTTTGTCCTTGTTAAGTGCCATTGAGTCAACTATGGCTTCATAGTGACCCTATGAACATCTCTGATGTACTTGAGACACTGTCCATTGCCGCAATCACTGTGTTAATTCATCTCATTGAGGGTCTTCCTCTCTTTCATTATTAGGATGATTATAAAAACAACTTTGATTATAAAATGACTCTGTCATTACAGTGACTATGAAACAGAATCAACTTGATGGCGACAGGGTTCAGTTTGGTTTTTAAGTGAGTTCAGATCTAATCCATACCAGCAGAAAGGAAGTGGAGTGACTGGATACAGTGTACAGGAAGGGCCCTTCTACCAGCAGCAGGTTTGGTGATTTGAACACTTCAGGAGGCAGGGATGGCATCTGCTTCCAAAGCCTGAAAACCCTGGGGAGCAACTCCACTCTGCACACTTAGTCTGCATGAGTCAGGATCAAGGCCACAGGTTTGGTTTGGGTTTAAGGAGCAAGTGACTGACCCCTATCCTAGGGCTCATTCATTCCCTGGACTTACCTCTTTGCCTTTCTCTGCATTTTGAGATGATCCCTCCCACCTATCAATCAACTTTTGCTCTCTGCTGGAGTTTGTAGCCTAGCACATAGCCCAGTACCTAAACCCTGCAGATACTCGAGAAATGTTTGTGTAGCAAAAAATGAAACTAAATGGGAGTGGACAACTCAAGCCTTGGTTCCCAATATTTAAGGAAAGGCAGAATTTAGGAATCTAGGAAACAACTGAGCCAGTTAGTTGAAGGTGAAATAACAGATCCAATCCAGGGAGCCCAGATCTCACTCCCTTCTGTAGTGAAAATAAGAATGGTTTGTTCCCTCCTCTCCACCTTTCCACTTTTGTTCCCATCTGGATGCTTTATCTTAAAACCTTTGAGCTAGCTATGATGATGGTCAAGGTTTTTAAAAAAGAGAAGAGCAGAAAATAGCAAGTGTTGAAGGGGTATTAAGACAACGGACCGTGCCCTCATTACATTGCTGGTGGGAGTTGTGGTAAACAGTCACAGTTTCTCAAAAACTAGAGGTAGAGTTGCCACATGACATAGTAATTCTACTGCTCAGAATATCCTCTACAGATCTAACAGAGGTGACACAAATAGGTGATACATAAACTTACACTCATTACAATTAAAATAACAAAAAGAAAAAACCTAAGTAGCCAGCAACAGGTGAATGGATAAATAAAATGTGGTCTATACCTATAACCATTGAAAAGACCATGGTCTGAACCATGCTTGGAAAGATGGAGGAATGGTGGAGGAGAGGAGGACCCTCAACCAGGTGGATTGACATAGTGAGTGCAGCAATGGGCTCAAGTGTGTCAGAGGTTTTGAGGTTGGCACAGGACAGGACAGGGTTCAGATCTATTGATCATAGGGTCACTATGAGTCACACTTGACAGCTAATAATAATAAATACCTACAGCCAGATAGACATGGTGACCGAGCAATGGGCTCAGGTATGTCAGAGATGATGAGGATGGCACAGGATAGGACAAGATTCAGGTCTGTTGTTCACAGGGTCACTGCGAGTCATACTCGACTCGGTGGCACCTGACAAGTGGGCATGAAAAGCCCCACATCTGGCAAAACAAGCCTAGAGAAGCTCTTAAAAGTAAAATAAATAAATAAATAAATGTTGTTAGCCACCATTGAGTTGGCCCAGAATCATGGCGTTCTATGCGCTGTTACCGTTTTATGATACCATTAAGTCAACTCTGACTGATAGTGACCCTATGAACAATAGATCGGAACCTGGCCCTATCCTGCACCATCCTCCCAATCTCTGTCAAGCTCATGCCCATCGTGGTAGTCGTTCTGTTAACCCATTCTGTAGTGAGTTTTCCTCTCTTTCACTGACACTGTCACTTTCCCTGCATGATGTGTCTCTCCAGTGACTGTCCCTCCTGACTATACGCCCAAAGTAAGTGAGACAAAGCTTTACCATCCTTGTCTCTCAGGAGCGCTCAGGCTCCACTTCCTTCAAGATAGATTTGATTCTTTAGCCAGTGCATGGCATATCCAGTCTGGTTAGTGTTGTTCAGTGACATAGAGTCATCTACAACTCATAATGACCCTGTGAACAAAAGATCTGGACTTTGGCCAATCCTGTGCCATCCTCATGATCTCAGATATACTCAAGGTCATTGTCACATCACTGATGTGTTCTAGTTCATTGTTATAGTCACTGTGTCAATCCATCTTGTTAAAAGACTGGTAACTTCCAGTTGATGATGTACTGTTCCAGTCGCTTTTTAAAACTCTCCAGCAAGATTTTACTGTACTATTAATGATATTGTTTGATAATTTACACATTATTTTGGGTTGCCTCGTTTGGAAATGGAAACTAAAATGGATCTCTTTCAATCAGGTAATTGGCTTCCAAAGTTCTTGGCCTTGAATGTATCTTAAGGTTTGTTTTTATGAAAAGAAAAAAGGAGAGGAGAGGAGAGGAGAGGAGAGGAGAAGAGAAGGGAGGAGAGGGGAGGGGAGAGGAGAAAAGATAGAAATACTGATACAGATATAGATATTCCTATTCCTAAAAAAAGATATTCCAACAGAATGTGGAAATTATCAACAAAATAATGAATATTATATATAAGTTTAGAAAAGGTCATGCCACTAGAGACATTATCGTCAATGTCAGAGGGATCTTGGCTGAAAGCAAAGCCTACTAGAGGAGTGTCTATCTGTGTTTCATTGTATGCAAAGGCATTTGACTGTATGGATCACAAAAAAATTGTGGCTTACCTTGAGGAGAATGGAAATCCCAAAACATTTCATTGTCCTCATGCAAAACCTATACTTGGACCAGGAAGTGGTCCTCAGAACAGAGCAAGGAAACACTGCATGGCTCAAAATCAGGAAAGGAGTGCTTCAGGGATGCATCCTGTCTCCATATCTTTTCAATCTGTATGCAAAATAGACCATTTGGGAGACTAGACTTTATCAAGAGAAATGTGGCACCAGGATTAAAAGAAGATTTATCAACAAACTGCATCATGCAGGTGACACAACCTTGCTTGCTGAAAGTGAGGAGAATCTGAAGTATTTGCTACAGAAGGTCAAGAACTATAGTCTTCAATATAGATTGAAGCTCAACATCAAGAAAACAAAGATTCTCTCCACTGGGCCACATGGCAAGACTGTGATAGATGGAGGAAAGATTGAGGCTGTTAACAATTTCAGCTTTCCCAGCTCCACAGTCAACATTCTTAGCACCAGCAGTCAGGAAATCAAATAGATTGCATTGTTGTTGTTGTTTGTTGTTGTTGTTTGTTGTTGTTGTTGTTAAGTGTTGTTGAACCACAGGCAACTCATAGCGACCCT